ATTTAAAATGATCATGTGAGGGGTCAGGGTAAGCCTTTTTAATATTATTTTTATTTTTTAAAGAGAACTAGACGAATGGCCCGGGCAACGCCCGGGTTTTACCCGAGTGCGAATATATTTTAAAAACGTTTTAATCTTCATCTAGATCTTCATCTTGTCTACACCTTGTATACATCTTGCTTCCTAGGGTTGCCCGGCAACGCCCGGGTTTACATGATTAATTGTATTATTCAAACACATTAAACATGTGCCCGTTGGCTGCCAGCGAGTAAATGTCGGCGCCCGTTGACTCCCGGCGAGCAAGCGACCGCTCCCGTCGGCTGCCGGCGTGCGAGTGCCTTCCCGGCGCATGCGCGCGCACAGGGAAGCCACGTGTCGCAGGCCGTCCAATGGGCGCGCCCCGCCATCAGATTCCACCGCGTTCTAGATGAGCTATTTAGAATAATTTGAATATATAGTTTTAATAATTGATTTATATATTTTTTAAAATAGCCTATCGTCATCCTCGTTATTTTTTACCTATGTATTGAAATTTTGGTTTGAATTAGTGAACTACTGCGAATTTGTATACCGGACATACAAGCCAACCAACCAACAAACATACAAACATTCATTTTTATATATATAGATATCTACGAGGCCTTGAAAACAAGGTACAAACTCTCAAGGGAAAAAGCTTATTTCTAAACTTTTCAATAGTTGAGAAAACTGAATCTTGAAAGTTTATCTCTCAAGATAGGGTCGTCATTTTAGTTTCCTCAACTATTGAAAAGCTTGGGAGACCCTGCAGTCGTGGTCGAGTAGTATATAAGGCGATAGACTAGAAATCTATTGGGATCTTCCCGCAGAGGTTCGAATCCTATTGACTGCGTTTTTTTTTTTCTCTCACCCGGCGAGGATCCCCTGGCCACCCATCTCCAGGCCCCACCAAAAGTGCAATCAATGTATATAGTGCTTTGTATATATTCCGTTTTATGCGTCCATCGGGGCTCAAAAATCATCCATTCTGGTTAGCAACCCCGTAAATAAGGATATTTCCGAGACCCTGCCACTGTCGAGCTACTGACAGAACACAGAATTTCTCTTAAACAACAACTAAAAATATTCTATATACAGTTACGAGCGTCATTCTTCATCTCTTAATCATCAGTCAGTTTTCATCTCTGTCACCGTTTGCATTTTTTTTGGAATGGCGCCCTCCTATTGGTTGGCTACGCTCACGCCACCTTTGCCCCCCCCCCCCCCCTCTCGCCTTTTCGTTTATGTAATTATTGTGTTGGAGCGGGTCGCTCCTTAAATAAATGCATATACAGTCGAACCTCTTTAATTCAACACCCCAAGGGATCAGAGCTTTCGGTTGAATTAAAGGGAGAGTTGAATTAAGGTTAGATGATTAGCTAATCATCTAACTCGCAAAAATAATATTTTTTAAAAATTGCTTTTAACATAAATAAATGATATTAATTGAAACCATTGTGTGTGTACTTTTTTGTATTATTTTTTATTTTCATGGTTAACTTTAGTATCAGGGACAAAATGGCAATAATACATATTTTTGAAACATAAATAATTAAAAATAATATTTTATTCTAATTGAAGAATATAGCAGTTGAAAGGAAATAAATATGGAAAATAAAAAGAAAATTTAAAAATAATATTTAAAAATAATCATGAAGATCTTTTAAAAATTCCTTTATAGATGTCTGTTTTTGCATTGAAATCCTATTCAGGATGTATTCCAGATGGTCTATTAAAAAAAAACATGCATGTCTTTCTTCCTCTGGAATGTTTTTAAATAACAAAGAGCTTTTATTGTATTAAAGGCATCCACTTCTGCTGCAGGTGTTATTGATTTTTGTGTTTAAATATTTTATAATAACACAAGGGGGGTCGGTGGAAGGCTGGTTAAACCGTTTGGTTTACGACCACTACGACCCGGGTTCGATCCCCGCATTGGACACTTTTTTCTGTTTAAAAAAAAAAAAAAAAAAAATGCTCCAATGGCCCCCCGATTCTTGCAATAGTCCAACCCCACCAGCGAGTGCAAGTAACCAAACGGGGCTCTGGCACATTTGTAAGTGCAAAGTCGAACTGCTTTCACATGTGTAGACATGTGGTGCGCTTACAGTAAAAAGCAGTCGCTAACTACCCACCATGATTATCATGGCCTGTACCACGTGTACTAGGGATAAGCAAAAAAAAAATAATAATAATAATAATAACACAAAAATGTAATATTGAAATAAAATGTTATCATAATCCTTGTGGCTACATTTTATGAAAATTTATTTATTTAAAAGGAAATTATTTGTAAATTTAAAATAACTAAAATATTTCAATGCTGATAATTAAAAAGAAAATAATATTATTAACCCTTAAATGGACGGGTGGATTTTTCTTAAGTAACTGGACGGGTTGGGTAGATTCAACCCACTTATGTAACTTTATGAATACAATATTCAAAAAAATATTTAATTAAAATATAGTTAATATATAAATTTGACTTTTAAAAATTCTGAATATAATCTATTTACAGTTTTCACGAATTATTATGAAATGTTTTTGCAAATGCTTAGTTGACATACAAAGCAAAGAGTTTTTATTTTTTACTGCGTTTTTTGATGGACATTTGTAGCACCTCTTTGGAGTATCAGATTGTTGTGGCATCGTAGTTTCATTTGGTCACTTGAACCATCATTCTTCTTGAATTGTTGTCTGTAATTCCAGTGGGAGAGAATTGAGATTATGTATGGCCAGATGTTCATCAGTCAATACTCTCCCAAGATCAACAATAAAATGACTCCTTTCTTTTTTACCCTTTTTGAGTCTGATTACCGATTTTCTTTCTTCTTTTTTTTTTTTTGGGGGGGGGGGGGGGGGGGGGGGGGGGGGGGGGGGGGGGGGGGGGG